GTGGTCGTTGCGGGGACTGCGGGGGACGCGGGGCCTGGTGGGGGGGGGGGGGGGGGGGTCCCCGCGTCCCGGGGGAGGCGTGGGGGGACGCCGGTGCTGGGGAAACGCTCCCGGGTCCTTGAGAGGGCTGCGAGGGGATGCCGAGTCCTTGGGAGGACCCAGGGCCGCGGAGCGTCCGTGGCCGGGGGTCCTGGTGCTATCCCCGCTCCCCGCAGGCCCGATGGACGTGGAGGTGCCCCGGGGGCTGTAGGACCCCCCTGCCCTCCCCATCCCCAGCGGCGGCAGCTGCGGCCGGGCCGGGCCGGGGGTCCCGCCGCGCCGGGGGTCCCGCCCGTCCCCGAGTCCTCGCGCCATGTCGGGGGCCCTGAGCAAGCGCAGCGACCTGGCCAACGACAACCGGTGCCCGGGGCTGAGCCTGGGGCTGGGAGCGCCCCCCGACCCCCGCACCGGCCCCGGGGGGGCCCCGGCCGAGGAGCTGCCCGGCGCCGGGTGGGCGAAGGCCGGGCAGGACCAGAACCGCAACGAGCTCGAGCCGGGGCCGGGGCCCGGGCCGGGCCGGTCCCCCGGGGCGCACGGGGAGTCCCCCGGAGCGCTCGAGCCGGGGGTCCAGGCCCGCAATGCCCGGAACGCCGCCGGGGACCCACGGGCCTTGCTGATCGGCGCCTCGGAGGAGGAGGAGGATGATGAAGATGAGGAGGAGGACGAGGAGGAGGAGGACGGGGTCGGGGTCTCTCCACCGGCTCTGGGCACGGAGCGGGGCCTGCGGGAGCCCCCGGGGCGCAGCGCCAGCCACCTCTTCGGGGGACCCGGCCCCGGCAGCGACGAGGACTCGAGCTGGGCCACGCTGAGCCAGGGCAGCCCCGGCAGCTCCCCCGATGAGCCAGGTGGGCACCGACCCGTGGGGCCCCAGTGACTTATGGCTGCCCTATGGAACCCCATGGTGACCTCTCACTGTCCCACAGCTGCCCCATGGAGGCTTCTGACAATCTATGGCTGCCCCACAAATGCTCCACACAGCCCAATGGCTGCCTCCACCTGCACCTTCCTATCATGCACCTGTGCTCCTATCAGCTCCATATCTTCCCTCATCCCTGGCTGTGTGCCCACTACTACACTCCCAGACTCCTGGGTGCCTTCCCTGGTCCCCCAGCCCCCTGGGCACTGTTCTGTGTCTCCAGCCCCAGTTAGTTCCATGCCCCCCCTTTGCTCCCTTGTCCCTGTGGGGCCCTCCTGAGGCATCCCTATGTTCCTGGGGCTGTGGAGAGCTGTGTGTGGAGTTGGGCTGACCCCCTGTGATCCCGCCATGCTTTGCAGAGTCGCTGTGGCCGTGTGGTGCAGGAGCACACGGGGACCTGCCCCCCGGGTGGCTGCGGGTGCAGGACACCTCAGGCACCTACTACTGGCATGTCCCCACTGGTACCACTCAGTGGGAGCCCCCCGGCGGGCCCCATGAGACCCCTTCCGATGGCAGCACCCCCACCGAGGGGCCCACCGTGAGTCGGGGCTAAGGGGGCTGGGCTTGGCCTAGGGGGTGGCTGTGCAGACACCGTGGGGCCACAGGGGGGGCTGTAGGGCGTGGGGTGACTGGGGGATGATGGTGGGGTGGTTGTGGGGGGCACAGGGCACCCACGGTATGTGCGTGGGTTGCTCTTGGGGTTACCACGGGACTCCCGTAGTGTGCTGTGGGGTGACTGGAGGGAGCCGTGGGGCACTTGTGGGGTGACTGGGGGGCTGCTGTGGGGCTGCCCTATGGGACACCCTGACCCAGCCCCCTGCAGCTCTCCTGGACGAGCTTTGCCCCGGCCGAGACCTTCAATGATGGGGACTTGTGGAAGGTGAGAGGGGGTAGTGGAGGGGAAAGGGTGGGGATCAGTGCCCCCCCAGCCCCACAGAGCCCCCTTGCCCCTAGGACCCCACAGCTGAGGAGGAGGAAGAGGAGGAGGAAGAGGAAGATGAGGAGCCAGGAGTGTCAGACCTGGAGATGCTGTCACCAGGCCCAGGATCACCAGGAGAGGGGTGCGGTGTGGGGCACACATGGAAAATGCAGGACATGGGCAGGGCTGTCCCTGGGCCCTGTCGGGATGGGGGACCCTGGGTGACAAGCAAGAGAATGGACAGAGGGTGTCCGGTGTGAAGTGGGAGCTGAGTGGAGCAGGGATCCAGGTGTGGGGCAGGGAAGTGGGGTCTTGGGATGGGGGTTGGACTTGGGAGAGTCCCAGGATCTCAAGGCAGGGGTTTGAGGTGGAAAGTTCAAAGTACTCAGGGTGCAATGACCCCGGTGTGGGATGCAGGGGACCCCAGAGGGCTCTCAGGGACAGGGTTTGGGGGTAGGGAGGGCCCAGGGTCTCAGGGTGCAGTCACTGACCCCCCACCCTTCACCTCGCAGCATGGCCCTGGGTGAGGAGGATGCGCTGGTCTCCAAGGTAGGGCCAGTCTCTCCTGACCCTCCCAGCCCACAGGGCCCCTTCCCCACTCCCGTGGGGTCTGGTGCACTGCTGGGGGGCTGAGACACCCAACCCAGGGGTGCCCGAGGCTGTCACCTGCAGGACCTGTGGGGTCCGCTCCGCCCCGAGGGCCCGGGGCGGTGATGGCTTGGGTTACTGCTGGGGAGCTGAGACTGCCCCGCACCATCCTCCTGCCCCCTTGCCCCTCACCATTCACCCCCCGCCCCAAACCACCTCTGCCTCATGCTCCCTGCCTTTCCTGCGCCACATCACTCCCTTCTCCACTGCCACCTCCCCACAGCCCCAGCCCCACACATTCTCCCCTTGACCCCAGGGTCTCCCGGTTCGCTCTCTGGGCTGGGTGCAGCTGCGGGAGGAGGAGCTGGGTCCCGGCCGCAGCAGCAGCGCTGTCAGCGCCTGCATCCGGCAGCTCTCGGGGCCTCGTGATGGTCCTCCCGGCAGCTGGGGGGAGGTGAGTGACCCCAGACCCCTCTGTGCCCCCCACATTCCTCCCTCACCTTCTCCACTGCCCCCCTGGCACCTGGGGGGTGAAGTATCCTGCTGAAGGTGCGGTGCCCCCCAGGCACGGGCGCTGCTGCTGCTCGAGGACCGCACGCTGAAGCTCGTGGACCCCCAGGACCGGGCACTGCTGCACGCACAGCCCGTGGGCGGCATCCGCGTGTGGGGCGTGGGGCGGCACGGCAGCAGGTGGGGGGCACGTGTGGGGCTGGGGGACACGGGGATGCCCACGTGTGTGGAGCTTGAGGTGGCACTGGGGCCCGGTGTGGGGGGCGTGGGGTTCTGGTGTGTGCAGGGGACTCAGTACACGTGGGGTGCAGGCATGGGAGGGATCTGCGTGTGTGGGACCCCCGTGGGGCATGGAGGTCTCACACAGTGTGGGGTGGGAGCTCTGGAATCCCGTGTATGTGGGGCTGGGCATGGGGTGTGGAGGGGGCCATGGGGCGTGGAGGGGGCCATGGGGCTGGGATCCCCACACGGGTGAGGTGTGGGGCTGTCGGGGTCACGTGCACAGGGCCGGGAGGTCCCACATGCGGATATGGTCCCATGGATAGGGCAGGTGGGGGCCATGGGGTCCCAACAGTGAACCCCCCCAGCAGAAATGGGTGTGGGGCAGGATCAGACCTTCCCCTAGGGGGTATGGGATGGGTCCTGGGGCTGGGGAGGAGGAGGGTCTGTGCCCCCCCGGCACCCCCTAACCCCGCTCTGTCCCACTGTGCTGCCGGGGATACAGGGAGAGGTATGGCCCCAACCTGTCCCCAGACCCCCAGTGTCCCCAGTCCCAGCTCGGACTGGGTGGGGATGGGACTGGGGTGGTCCTGAGCGTGCCCCCATCGTCCCCCCAGGGACTTTGCATACGTGGCCCGGGACCCCTTGACGCAGGTGCTGAAGTGCCACGTGTTCCGCTGCGAGGGGCCAGCCAGCGCCATCGCTGCCGGGCTGCACCGGGTCTGTGCCCAGGTGAGACCCCCCCAGACCTCCTCAGGACCCCCTCAAACTGCCCCTGTAGCCTGCACCGTGTCTCTGTGCCCAAGTGAGACCCCCCCGCTTAAACTTCCCCAGAACCCTTGCTCTGGCTGGCAGTGGTTCTGTGTTCAGGTAAAACCTCCCAGCCTTCTGCTGGGGTTCCCCTAAACTGCCACCTTGGCCTGAGCTGTGACTCTGCCTACATGAGACCCCCAAAAAGTCCCTAAGAACCCCCCGCCTGGCCTGCACCAGGGCTGGGCCCGGGTGAGACACCCCCAAGACCTCCCAGGCCCAGGTAACCCACCCCAAATTCCCCTTCCTTGGTCTGCACCACATCTGTGCCCAGGTGAGACCCCCAGAAACCTGCCAGGACTTGCCCTAGCCTGCACCACATCTGCACACAGGTGAGACCTCCAGGCCCCTCCAGCCAGCCCCCAGGCCTGTTCCTGGGTGAGCCCTTGCCCACACCAGTGTCCCCACAGACCTGGCACAGGGATCCCTAGGGGTCCCTCTGGGTGTCCATGCTGTGACAGCCCCTTGTGTGACATCTGGGGGACTGTGGGTCACCACGGGGGTCCCTGGAGGTCACTGTGGTGTGACATCTGGGTTGGCCATGTCCCCCTGTCCCCCAGCTGACGGCAGAGCGGCGAAGTGCCCGGGCAGCAGGCAACGGCCTGGGGACAGAGCCCCCCCGGCTGGGGGAGCCTCCCCTGCAGGGTACGGGGCTCGGGGTACCTGTGAGAGAACTGGGGTGGCTCTGGGGAGGCATCTGGGGGTCTGGGAGTGACTAGGAAGGGCTGGAGGACTGCTGGGGGAGTCCTGCCAGGGTATAGGGCGACTACAGGGGTGGGGGCCTGTGTCTCTGGAGATTGCATTCACTGGGGTAGGGCAGTTGGAAGAGAGGGTAGCTTTTAGGGAGGCTTTGGGGGTATCTGATGATGTCCCCCACCACAGCAGAGCTCCTGGCCCCCAAGAGAACAGCAGTGCAATTGGGGGTGTTGGGAGTTCTGGGGATACTCTGGGGGAGTGTTGGGTTGCTCTGGGGGGGTCTTGAAGGGCTCTGGGGAGGTCTGCCATGTCCCCCCCACACTGGAGTGCCCAGCGTCCAAGAGGCCTTGGGGGGCTGGGTGAGCACTGAGGGGTGAGGAGGGGTTCTGGAGGGATGTTGGGGCTCTGGGGTGTTCTGGGGGCCTCTGCGGGTGTCTGACAGTGCCTCCCCCACAGTGGAGTTCCCAGCCCCCAAGAGTGAGGTGGTTCAGCGCTTCCCCGTGTGTTACCTGGGCTGTGTCCCTGTTGCCAAGCCAGTAGGTGAGTGGGGGACTCGAGGGGAAGGGGGAGTGTCTCGGGGGCCTCCTCCAGCACAGGTGGGGCAGCTGTGGCTGCTTGTCCCCGTGCCCCCAGGCATGGACGTGATCAACGCGGCACTGGAGGCAGCGCTGGCCCCTGGCTCAGGGGAGCCCCCTGCACCCACCCCCGTGGTGGTCAGTGTGGCCCCCGCCACCCTCACCATTGCTCACCGCCAGGTGTGTGCCCTCCTCGGACCCCCGTGCCCTGGGGCCCCCACCCATGCCCTCCATCACCCACCACCAAGTGCATCCCCACCTGCGACCACCACCCTGGCCTAGGGGGGCTGTGGTGACCCCCTCCCACTCTGGGGAAATGTGGTGACCCCCATCCTCACTGGTGACTCCTTCCTGTTCTGGGGTCTGAGTGACCCTGTCACATGCCAGAGGGGCTGCAGAGACCCATCCTTGTCCCAGGGAGCCATGATGGCTCCTTCCATCATGTCCCCATCCCACCACATCCCTTGGGGGATCCCTTCCCACCCTGGGGGACTGTGCTGAACCCTCCCAACCCCAGGGTATCACAGTGCACCCCCCCCACCCTTTCTGGTAAGCACCTTGGTGATACCTCATGTGCCCTGCTGACCCTGTCCCCATCCTGGGGGTGCCTCGACGACCCCCTCCCCACCCTGGTGCCCCCCTCCTCATGCTGAGGTGCCCCGGTGACCCCCGTGCCCCCCAGACAGAGGCGGTGCTGTGCGAGTGCCGCGTGCGGTTCCTGTCCTTCATGGGGGTGGGACGCGACGTCCGCGCCTTCGCCTTCATCATGGCCAGCGCCCCCGGCACCTTCCGCTGCCACATGGTGTGGTGTGAGCCCAACGCCGCGGGGCTCAGCGAGGCGCTGCAGGCCGCCTGCGTGGTGAGTGCCACCCCCGCGCCCCCCCCGGCTCCCCGCGCCCCCGCTGACCCCCTCGCTCCCCACAGCTCCGCTACCAGAAGTGCCTGGATGCGCGGCCCCAGGCCTCCAGCTCCTGCCTGCCGGCGCCCCCGGCTGACTCGGTGGCAAGGCGGGTGGGCTCCTCTGTGCGCCGGGGGGTGCAGACCCTCCTGGGGACCCTCAAACCGCGGCGGGGAGGGGCGCAGACCCCCTGAGTGGGACAAGGGCGTGGGGGGCGTGCGGCTGGGCAAGGCAGCGTGGGGGGGCAGGAGCACTGACCCAACGCTCCAGGGCACAGCGTTACCTGGGGTGTTGGGTCAGGGGTCCTGGCCCCACCAGTGCCCCCACGGTGGGTCACGCCCCCCCCAAGGTCCCCAATGCATGTGGCGTAACGAGGGTCTGTGTTGTACTAAATCATTAATTAATAAACCCATTCCACCAGCCCGGCTCGGCTCTGCATTTGGCCTCACACAGGGAGGAGCAGCAAGAGAACGAAGAGCAGGGATGAGGGTGTTGTGTCTGGTTTAGGTCTTCCTAGGATGTTGCAGGTGAAGAAAGGCAGTGAGGTCCACCCACACCTTATTAGGGGCCTGATGGGAGTTACAGGAACCATGGGCTGATCCCAATTGCGATCCCAGTGGGTGAGAATAAGGACAAGGAGGTGGAGTGGTGATGTCCCAGCATCCCTGATTTGGGTCTCCCTAAGTTGTGGCTGAGAACTGTGGTGAGGATAAAGGACAGTGGGGTCCATCACACCTGTACTGGGGGGTGATGGGAGCATGAGGACTGTGTGCTGATCATGATCCCAGTTCCAGTCCTGGTGGGAGCGGATAAGGAGGGGTGGTGGTATTCATTGTGCCTTTATTGTGTAACTCGTGGGACATGGGGACCATGTGCAATTCCCGACCTCACTCCCTGTGACCCTGTGCCGATCCCGCTCCCAGCCCCGCTCCTGGTGTGACCATGTGCTGACTACAATCCCGCTCCCTGTGTAAGTGTATCCCTGCCCTGCTTCCCGTGAGACCACTGTTTCTGGTGTGACCATGTCCCAGCCCTTGCTCCTGCCGGCCCCCGGGTCAGCAGAGCCGCCGCTGCTGCCAGAGCTCCTGGATGCGTGGGAAGGGCAGCGTGGGGCGCAGGGGCCGGCAGAGCTCGGGGTCGGCAGCGCGGCCGGAGCGCAAGGCGCAGAGCAGGGCGGCCTTGCAGGGGCCGCTGCAGGGCTCGCGGGGCGGGTGCCCCTTGTGCAGGTGGAACCAGAAGAGCTGGAAGAGCTGCTCGTCATCCTGCATGCGCCGCACCAGCCGGTCCCAGTCGGCCGGGAAGGCCGCGGGCAGCCCGTAGGCCTCGCGCGCGCTGTAGAGCCGCTGCCAGCGCGGGGGCGTCCCCGGGGGCGCCGCGTTGGCCTCCGTCAGGTTCAGGATGAACGTCTCGTGGTCCAGGACCGCATGGGAGCTCCCGGGGTAGGAACCGGCCACCTCGTACACGCGGTACCCTGCGTGGGAGGGACAGTCAGCGCCGGGGATGGGGGTGCCGGGGGGACATGTGGCGGGGTTTGGGGCGCACCGGGATTGAGGTTGATGTAGGTGGTGACGCTTGGTGCGACGAAGGCAATGGAGACGGGACGTGACAGCGTCTCCTCATCGTAGAACAACTCGAACTCGTCCAGGTGAGTGTGCCCGAAGAACTGGGCTGCAATGGTGCCCTCGAACCTGCCATGGTGGGGGGACGGGGGGTGGCACCCAGACTCCCAGACCCTCCATCTCCAAGACTCCTCACCCTGGAACCCCAACCCGAGCCTGGCCCTCGGGTCCAGCATGTGGGGTGGGGGTTCGGATACATGAGGTGCGGGTCTGGCACATGGGATGGTCCACGGTGTGGGGTAGAGGTCTGGTCTAGGGGTCCAGTATATGGGGTAGGGGCCTGTTGTATAGAGCGGGGGGACCATGTGTGGGAGTTCAGGTTGTGGAGCCAGGCTCTGCCTTGTGGGGTGGGGGTCGAGGGCACATAGACAAGGGCAGGGCGCCAGCACATGGAGTTTGAGGTCAGGGCACAGAGTGGCATGTGGGGTAGGGCACATGGTCAGGGGTCTGGCACATGGTGTGGGGGCCTGGGCAGGGGTCAGGCACTGACCTGTTGACGATGCGGTAGTAGTTCCAGCTCCAGCTGCGCAGACAATGGGCTGGGGGTATGTGCCCGATGATGTGCACCTGTGGACAGGGAGCCGGGGCTGGGGGTTTGCCCAGGGCCCACTGGAACCCTCCATATCACCCCAGAACCCCCCCACACCTTCTCCCCATCACGCTCAGCATCTGCCAGGACCCCCATGAGCCACTGGAGCTGCCCTGCAGGGTCAGTGGCGTTGATGAGGAGCCAGAAGTTGGCCTGGGAGCAGAAGTTCATGTTGAGGGAGACGAGGCGTAACCCAGGCCAGACCTGTGCTGTGTAGAACCCGCCGGCGCTGCGTGGAAAAGGAAGGTCAGTGCTGTGTCCCCTGATCCACAGACCCTGCACCCCTCCCACGACCTCCAGCTCTCTGCCACCTGCACTGCCCACCCACCTACAGCCTCCAGCCTGGGGCCTCTGCTACCCCACAGCCCTCTCTGTACCCCAACCAGCCATGACCCCACTCCTCGCACCTCTCCCCCCATGAAGCTGAGACACCTGCCCCCATCCCCAGCTAGCCTGGTACCGCCCCTGCCCCAGCTCTGTGTCCTGCTAGTCTTGAGCCCCCAGTAGCCCGGAGTCCCCAGCTCTGAGCCCCCAGTCTGTGCTACTGCAGCTCCCCCACCCCAGAACACCTGATAACGCAGAGCCCCCTCAGTCTGGAGCCTCCCAGCCCTGGTACCCCAAATGCCACAGACCCAGGCCCCCAGTAGCCTAGAACCCCCACCCCCGTGCCCTTGTATTCCTGCAACCCACACTCTCCATCCCTGGACCCTCAACAGACTGGAACCCTGCACCCCCCGGCCCTGCCCCGTGCCCACCGCAGGGTGTGCAGGGCGGCGGGGGGCAGCCAGTCCTGCCAGGCCTCGGCCATGGCATCGTACAGCCACGCGGCCGACCGGTTGCCACGCACGTAGGGCGGGGGGAAGGCGTTCACGGGGGTGGCCTCATGGTTGCCCACGGCCGGGAAGACGCGCAGCCCCCCGAGGCGGGCGCGCAGCAGGGCTGTCACCGTGCGCAGTGCCCGCAGCTGGTCCCCGCGGCTCTGCTGCCACACGTCGTGCGCAGGGATATCCCCGGTCCAGTACGCTGCCGCAAAGCCGCCGGTGCCATTGCCGGTGCTGTTACTGGTGTGACTGGTGCTGTTGGGGAGCTGTGCCAGCAGTGCATCGATGGTGTGCAGTGGAAGGTCACACTTGCTGTAGGAGCCCCAGAACCCCGCCACGGCCGGCCCCTCACCGGGGGCCCCGCGGCAGCACAGAGGGTCAGGACAGGCAGCGGCACTGCCCGGCACATACTGACGGTCCCAGTGCAGGTCCGTGAGGAAGAGAATGCGGGCGGTGGGCGCTCCAGGAGGTGGCGGCGTGGGCGGCCGCACTGGTGGCTTGGGGGCGGCAGGCAGGGACAGGTTCCAGGCACCCAGGATGTCCCAGTGGCCACAGTGGGGACCCAGCAAGAGCCCGCAGGCCTCGGGCGGGCGCAGCACGGATCGTGCCCAGGCTGCCACCACGTCGCCCTGGAAGAGCTGGACGGCCTGGCGGCACACGGGTGGCCGCGCCAGCCGCAGCTCCTGGCACAGCCGCGACGCCACGCGCCCCACGCGGGCCACGTTCGGCTCCAGCTGCAGAAGGATGGACATTCGGGATGGTCCCAGCGTCCCACACCTCTTGCTATCCTCGCTGCCCTCCGTCCACCAGCTCCCCAGGACAGCCCCTACACATTGAACTCAGCTGCTTTCACTGGCTTGTGCCGGTCAGCACCTCGGCATGGGCAGGGCACCCCCGGCGTAGACACGGCAATCCCCGGGCATGGGCACGACACCCCCGGCATGGGCACTCCCAGCTGCCATCAATGTGCTGCGCCCAGCGGCTCCCCGGGACGGACCTGTCACTGTCCCACACCCGCCGGCCACTCCAGCGCACTCAGCTGGATATCCCGAGGCCAGACGGGACCCACACGGTCCCCCAGCCCCTCTGTTCCCCGGCCTAGTTCCCCCGAGCGGAGCCGCTGGCGTGACCCCGCCCGTCCCCGTCCCTGTCCCCGTTCCCCTTTCGGCCGTCCCAGCCTGTCATTCTCCCGTCCCCGCCCGTCCCTGTCCCCATTCCCAACCTGGTCTCGTGTCTGTCACAAGCCCCGACCTGCCCCGGCGCGTCACGAGTGACTGGCCCGGCCTGTCTCTGCCCTGTCCCTGTCCTGTCCCTGCTGTCCCGTCCCCTCTGCCCCCGTTCCTGTCCCATTCCGGTTTTCCCCGCTCTTCCCGTTCTGGTATCCCGGTGTCCGCCCATGCCCGTGTCTCGCCCGGTGTTCCGGTATCCCCCCGGTGCCCCCCGTCTCCCGGCACTCCCCGATCCCCCGTGCCCACCTGCAGCGCCAGGTCCAGCGCCCCGAAGAGCACCCGGCAGGCCGGGCACGACATGTTCCGCCAGCTCCAGCGCGGCGCCTTCGCCGCCAGCTGCTCCTCGGGGCCGGGCGGCGACGCCGCCGAGAGCGGCAGCCCCGGCAGCGTCAGCAGCGCCAGCAGCGGCAGCGCGGCCAGGGCCAGCGGCAACGATCGGCACCGCGGCCGCGCCATGGGGCCCGGCGGGGCCCGAACCCCGGCGGCCATGGCCGAGCGAGGGGCGGGGCCGGGCGGGGGCGGGGCCGACCCACGCCATTTATTGCTAAGGGGGCGGGGTCAGAGCAGGGGCGGGGCTGTGGGCAGGGCCCGGCGCCGAGAGTGCGGAGGCGTGGCCTCGAGGGGCATGACCAATGTCCGCGGGGCTGAGCGGAAATGGGGCGTGGCCACCCGAGGCGGGGGCCGTATGCAAATGAAGGACTCGGGCCTACGTAAGGCATGCGGGGCACGATGGGAGATGGAGTCCTGGGACCTGTTCCCTGGCGGTGTTCCCGGTGTTCCCTGGCGGTGTTCCCTGGGGACCCTCTTCCCTGCATACGGTCACACCCCCGGGACGGCACTAGGGGCACCGGGCCCGGGGCTCCCATCCCCCCAGCTACTGCCGCCGGGTTCAGCAGTTCCCGCAGCGGAGGGTCCCAGCCCGAAGTCCCGCGCGGTGCCGACCCCACGTCCCGCCCGGAGCTGCCCCGCGGTGCCTCCGTGCTGGCGGGGCAGGAGCGCTGGGAGCAGCGGCGCAGGTGGGCACGGGGTCTGTTTATTGTGACCGTAGCCGGGGAGCAGCGCGGGGTGACCTCGGGCTGGGCTGGGGATGCCTCGACCTCCCTCAGCTTCCGACCTGCCCAGCCCCAAAGGCTCCTCCCGCCCGCCCCCACCCGGCCGGGGGTCGGAGAGCTGGGATTGAGCGGGGGACGGTGGGCAAGGGTGCCCCGGGAGGGCGGGAGACTGGGAGTGCAGCGGAGAGGGGCACGGGGGTGCTGGCAGGGCAGGGGTTCATGCTCGGGGGTGACCAGCTCACAGGGGGCCAGGCACTGGTGTAAGGGGGTTTAGCTCAGGGGTCCCAGGCTGCTGAGAATGCTGTAGCTGAACTTGCAGAGAAAGGTGTTGGCCATGGGGGGCTCGTGGGGGTCCAGCTCACGTGGGTCCCAGGCACTGGTGTTGGAGGGATCAGGGGGTCCCAGCTCAGGGGTGCCGGCTCAGGGGGGTCCCAGGCTGCTGACGGTAGTGTAGCTGAACTTGGAGAGCGAGGCACTGGCCATGGGGGGCTCGTCCTCGGGCGGGCGGCGGGGGCAGGCACGGCGGCACCCCCAGCCTGCGCAGGTGGCCCCAAAGGCCTTGCGGAAGCGGCGGTTCATGAAGCAGTAGATGAGGGGGTTGGCGCAGGCTGAGGTGTAGGACAGCAGGTGGATGAAGGCGATGGGGGTCCCCGAGAGTGCCCGCTGGGCTGCCCTCGGGGCAAAGGCACGCCAGGTGTTGGCGGCGAAGATGGGCAGCCAGCAGAGGAAGAACATAGCCACGATGACCACCAGCATGCGGATCACACGCCGCTTGGCCGCCAGCTGGGCCCCCGAGCTGTTGATGCGTGCCCGGTCCTGCAGCGCAGCCGCCCCCAGCGCCCGCAGCTCCAGTGCTGCGCCCGGACGTGAGAGCTGCAGGTAGCACCCGTCACCCTCATCGCAGGTGGGCGCTGGGTCCCCCCCAATGCCACGCTGGGCTGCGGAGTGAGGAGGCATGGTCACGGCCACGGCACTGTACGGACACGCTGCACCCCAACACCACGGGAACATCCTCCAGGGGGATGGGGTGAGGGGACGTGGAAATGGCCATGGCACCATGGGGACATGCTGCACCCCAAGGCTATAAGGATGTCCCCAGGAAAGGGTTCCCTGAGGAGCACACCACTGTGGAGAGCAGGGGGGAAGGCTCAGCCCTGCGTCTCCTCCTGGGGTGGGCAGTCTGCCCACAGGGGAGTCACACCAACAGTCACCCCCAGCGTCACCCCCGCCACATCCCCTCACCTGCCACCTCCCTCTTGACGTCCAGATCAAAGCGGATGCCACGGTAGAGCTCACGGGAGATGAGCCCGTATGCCACCGTCATCACTACGCCTGGGATGAAGAAGAGGACGAGGAGCAGCAGGACGTACCTGGGAGAGGCGGCCCCGTCACTTGGCATCCCCTCTCCCCCGTGTTCCCGCTCCCTCCCCGGGACTCACCAGACCTGCCGGACGCGCTCGCTGGGCCAGTGGTGCGTGCACTGCGCGGGGGGCGGGCGGGGGGCGGCGGGACGCGTGGTGCTGTACACGGCGTAGGGCAGCATCAGCAGCGCCGCCAGCGCCCAGGTGCCCGCGATGACGCGGCAGGCGTGGGACCGCGTCTGCCAGGCACGCGATTGCAGCGGGTTGCAGATGGCACTGTAGCGCTCGATGGCGATGGCCACCAGGCTGAAGGTGGACACGGCCACCGAGACCCCTGCGGGTAGCAGGACGTGTCGGTGGACATGGCTTGACACTGCAGGCGCCCACCTCCTCCTGAAGCGCCTCACTGTATTCCATGTCCCCGTGAGGTAGGGATAAGCTCCCCACATATCCACGGGGTAGGGACGAGCCCCCTCCCTTTTCCCCCACGTGCCAGCCAGGTAGGGATGAGTCCCCTTGCTGTGCCCCACCCTAACCAGGAGGGAGGGACAGGCCCCCATGTGCCCCACCCTACCCATGAGGTAGGCGACGAGCTTGCAGACGACGTCGCCGAAGATGAAGGCGCCCATGAGGCCGGGCAGGAGGGTGAAGGGCATGCAGCACAGTGCCAGGAGCAGGTCACTCAGTGCCAGGGACAGCAGGAAGCAGTTGGTGACGGTGCGCAGTCGCCGGTTCAGCGCCAGCACGGCCACAACCAGCGCATTGCCCCCAACGCTCAGCACGAAGATCAGCACGTACAGCACCACACGCACTGCCACGTCCACCTCTGTGGGCAGCAGGGCACCGGCGCTGCGTTGGGACCCTGGGTGCTCCCCAGAGGCACCCCGAGGGCACCCCAGAGACACTCAGGTGGCACCTTAGAGGCACTCTGAAAGCACTCCCGAGGCCACCATAGAGACACTCTATGGCACTCCGAGGGTAGCCCGGTTGCCCCCCAGACACACCCTGAAGACACCTCAAAGGCACCCCAGCACAGGCCCAGGCACTGGGACACCGGGGCTCCAGCGTGAGCGCCGCGGGCTCGGTGCAGACCCATCAGATGAGTGCATCGTTCCCCCCCGTGTGGCAGCCGGCGGGATTTGGGGCGAACCCCACGCCCCTCGGCTCAATTTCGCGAGGCTGAGGGACCCTCACCCAGGTGGGTGCCCCCGTCCTGCCCACCCTCCGCCTCGGTGCTGAGCCGTGGCTCCCGCGGCGGCGCGGGGACCGGGGCCCCGGGACGTGCAGCCCAGAGAGCGGAGTGACAAGCCGGAGCTGGGATGAGGAGAGGGGTCTTGGCTCTGGTGATAGGGTGGGATGGGGCCGTCCCAGCCGAGAGTCCAATTGGAGGTCCCGGTCCCGGCAGTGGGGCAGGGGTGCGGGGTGAGCGGTGTCTGAGTCCGTGGCGTCCCTGTCGGAGTCCTCTCCGCCCTGCTGCTGCCGCCGGCACAGCCCGGCGTGTTCCCCCCAGGCAGCGCCGAGATCCGCATCGGGACCACTGGGCAGTGCCGGGGCCACCGAGCTCCTGCCCGGGGCGCGGGAATCGGGGATGATGGGTGCGATAAGGGGCACGGCGGGGGACGGGCAGCACCGGTCAGGGACCGGGAGAACCGGAGCGCAGGGCGGCGGGCACCGGGCTGGCACGGCGGGACGACGCGGGGTGCCGGCGTGCCGGGGAGCGCAGGGCCGGGCACGAAGTGGGGGTCCCTTCCCGGGTCCATCCCGCTCCGTCCCCCCGCATTCTCACCTCTGGGCGCCGGGGGCCCGCGGAGGCCCCTGCGGAGGAGGTCGCAGACCGAGCCGTTGGTCCCGTTGCCGGTGGCGGGTCCGTTCCCGGTGCCGTTCTCAGAGCGGCAGAGCATCTCCTGCAGCGACACGTTGAGGGGCCGGGGGTCCATAGCGGGGACCCCCCCGCCTCCCCCCGCCCCTCCTCCGGCAGGAGGCACCGGGAAGGAGCAGACACCGGGAGGCTCCGGGAGGGACGAGGCTCCGATCCGCTCGGAGCCGCCGGTGGATAAGCGGGGGCGGCGCCCGGCGCGGGGCGGGCCGGGGGCGGGGGGCGGTGGCGGCGGCGAGGGGAGCCCGGGGGGTGCTGGAGGGCGCGGGGGAGGTGGGAACAGAGGGAGCCCGGGGCGGGGGGCGACGGGCGGGGCCATGGGGAGTAGCGGGAGCGGGACTCGGGAATACCGGGCTGCAGCCGGAGTCCCGGGCGGGTCGGGCAGTTTGGGGGGGGCTCGCCGGGAGCGCTCTTGAGGCACCGGGCGACGGCGACTGCCGCCACCGCGGTGTCTGTCACCGCGTCCCTGCGGCTGCCCCGGGACGGCCTGGCGGGGCTGGGGTCCCGAGCTGCTCATGACTCCGAAACTCCATGACCCTGACCCGTTCCCATCGCGGCTCCGTCCCCGTCCCGGTCCCCGTCCCGCAGCAGCAGCTGTCGGTGTCACCCGACAACAGTGGTCTCTGCTGTGTCCCAGTCCAGGTCACCCTCAGCACCGCGGAACTAGTCCCGCGGCACCCCCCTCCCTCGTGGGACCCTGACCCCCTGAGCCCTGGAGAGATCGTGTGCCCCTCTGGAACTCCGTGACCCGGAGGGACCCTGTGCCCTGGGGAGAGCCTGTGCCCCACTGGGACGGTACCTTCCACCGGGACCTCGTGCGCCAGTCTGCCTCTGTGCCCTGGGGGAACCATGTACCATGGGGATACCATGTGCCTTGAGGGGAGCCTGTGCCCCCCTGGGGCCATACATGCCACGAGGACCTCCTGCCCTAATGTGACCCTGTGCCCGGAGGGGACTCTGCGCCATGGGGGTATCGTGTGCTTTGGGAGGACCTTGCATGTCGCGGGGACCCTGTGCTCTGTGGGGACCCTGTGCCTTGGAGGGGCCCTGCACCCCAGTGGGACCCCATCCTCCTGCAGATCCTGGTTCCTGGGCAGGACCCTGCGCCCTGGGGGCACCCGGCACCTTGGAGGGACCCTGTGCCCTGGTTGAGCCCTGCACTCTGGGGGGACCCTGTGCCCCAGCAGGGCCCTGTGTCCTGGCAGGTCGCTGCGGTGAGGCCGTTCCCGCTGTCCCGTCTGTCCGCGCTGCTCTGTCCCGTCGCTGCAGCCGCAGCCGCAGCCGTCCCTCGAGGCGCTGGACGCGCAGGGCCATGCGCAGGGCGCTGGCCTCCAGCTGTGCCAGCAGTCGGGCTGCCCGTGTCTGGAGCCCCTCCAGGGACACCTCCAGCCCCTGCAGCCGCCGCTGCGCCTCTGCCTCGGCCGCCAACGCCGCCGCCTCAGCTCCGGTGTCGAGCTGGCCTATGCGCAGCAGCAGCTCCCGGCCCTTGGCTTCCATGGCAGCACGGGCAGAGGGGAACTCGGCCAGCACCTCTGCCAGGTCCTCCTTGCCCAGGCAGAACAGGTCTGAGTACCCGATGCTCAGGATGTTGGCCGTGCGCCGGTTCCCTGCCGTGTTGCCTGCGGGGCAGGGGGCCGTGAGCCCAAGGGGGCCACGGGGCAGCATCGGGGCACGGTGTGGAGCTCACCCTTGATGTTGATGAGGCTGATCTCCCCGAAGTAGAGCCCCTCGCCCAGCACGGCCAGCTGCGTGACACCGTCCTCGGCCACCACGGCCAGGCGGCCCTCGCGGATGAAGTACATCTCACGGCCCACATCCCCACGCCGGCACACGAACTCGCCGGGCCCGAAGACCTGCGGTCGCAGGCGCAGCACCAGCTGTCTCAGCACGCCGTGGTCCCAGCTGCGGAACAGCCCGACGCGCCGCAGGGCCTCCAGGTGCACGCTGGCGGCCACCTCGGCCCGCAGCCCCCGCGGCAGGTGCTGCAGCACCTCCCACTCGGCCGGCAGCTTGCGCTGTGCCCGCAGGTGCTGGTGCCAGCGCACGACGCGCCCCGCCAGCCGCCCGCCCACGCCCCACGCCCGCAGGTACCGCCGCACCGGCCCCGCATCGGGGTAGAAGGCGGCGGTGGCTGAACTGAGGTTGACGATGACGGTGCTGATGCTGCCGGTGATGGTGGCGAAGCCCAGCACGGCCAGGAGGAAGCCGGCGGTGAGGAAGAGGAACTCCTCCTCGCGCTGCGGTGCCGGCGTGTCGCCCACTGTGGCCAGGACCAGCGTGGAGAAGTAGAAGCTGTGCAGGTAGCGGCGCAGTGGTCGGGCGGAGCTGGGGCAGACCCAGGAGTCGACGCCCAGCCCCAGGTGTGCCGACAGTGCGAAGTAGAGGCAGCCGTGCCAGTGGATGCCCAGCAGCAGGTACAGCATCAGCTTGGCCACGCGGAACACATTGGGCCATCCCGTGTGTGTCTCGCACCGGTCGAAGGCCTCGAAGAGTCGTGGCAGCCGTAGGCAGCGGTTGGCACGTGCTGCTGGCACCCCTGGGACCCTCGGGACCCCTGGGAGCAGGCAGACCAGCTCGGTGGGCAGCACAGCCATCACATCCCAGGGGAAGGTCCAGGAGCCCAGGTAGCGCTGCCGTGTCCGGCTGAGGTCCCGCACCAGGATCCCGTCCTCTAGGAAACCTGAGTGGGCAGCCAGGGCAGCCGTGGCACTGCGGGGCATCCAGGGCTTGAGGGGCAGGGGTTGCCCAGGACCTCCCTATGATGGGAGAGGGCTCGCAGTGGGGACCAAGTAGGTGCCCAGCATGGGGCAGAGGGAGGAACCAGGGGACAGGAACCGTGGCTGGGCACCCTGGGGATTTCACTGGTGGTTCCCTGGTCTGCCGTGGGGCTGAGGGGTTGAGCAGTGGGTGCTGAGACTCTAGACCACCCACCCAGACATGCTCGATGTGGGGCCGGGTGGTGGCTGTACCGGGTGGGAGTGCACATGTGTGTGTGTGTGTGTACAGGTACAGACCTGTGTCTCTGTGTGTATGTACATGTACACACCTGTGTGTGTGTACATATATACACCTCTTTGTGTGTGTACAGGTACACACCTGTATCTGTGTATATGTACATGTACACGCCTATGTGTGTGTGTGTGTACATGGACACACCTGCACATCTCTGTGTGTGTGTATGTACCTGTGTGTGTCTGTACAGGTACACACCTGCATGTCTCTGTATGTGTGTGTACATACCTGTGTGTGTACACACCTGTACATACCTGTGTGTGTGTGTACATACCTGTGTGGCAGTGCACGGCGATGTCCAGCAGGTACAGTGCGTCGCTGAGCCCGTCCAGGGCCTTCCACAGCTCCGTGTGTGCCTCTTGCACCTCGGGGAAGCAGCACCTGGGGTACAAGTGGCATCACGAGGCATCACTGGGATGGAGGCAGGACATCCCCGCCCCAACCCTACTGCCCGGCACCTGAGGATGAGGACGACCCAGTTGTAAAGGATGGGCAGCACCATGAGGCTGATCCATCTGTAGTGCCAGTCCCCGGCGGGGTCCAGGGTCCAGTTCCGGGGAGAGGCAGCGAGGCTGGGGGGTGCAGAGGGACCTGGGGTCACTCTATCCCCGTTTGGGATCCCTCTGCCCCACGCTCAGCCGCAACTGCAGTGGCTCTAAGGCTCAGCCAGTACCCACCGCACCGGTGGGACTGGGGGGGTCCCTGCAGTTCCCACCCCACAAGAGGCAGCCGTGCCATGGCTCACCCCGTGCCATGTCCAGCGCCGGTGCCAACTCTGGCTGTGGTCACGGATCCAGAGGTGCTGCAGGGCTGGAGCCTGGCCCTGCGGCAGGACAGGAAGGAGCCCAGGGTCTGCATCCTCCACAGCGGGGATCCTGCGCGTCTCGGCAGCCGGGGGTCCTGTGCACCTGAGCACCTGGCAGGGGCTGCGCCTGCCCCGGTGCCAGGCGTGGCACCTCAAGGGGACCCAGCCACGCAGCTCCTGCGGCACTGGCCGCGTCCTAGCAACGTGGGGTCCCCAGGGCATCCGCTGGCCCCTGGGACACCTGGGCTGAGGCAGCTGCTGTGCCAGGCTCACCGGGCGCGCTGGGGCACGGAGCCATGGCCAGGTGTGCTGGGGCCCAGGTGAGTCTCCAGTAACAACAGCCGGTGCCAGGCAGTGCCCTGCGCGGAGGTGGTAGCAGTTCCCAGTGCCTGGTGCGCCTGCCAGAGCCGTGCTCGGTACGGGGTTACCTGGCACAGTGGTGCTCAGTGCAAGGTTACCTGGCACAAAGGTGTCCAAGGCCAGGGAGGGCCCGTTTCTGGGGTGCCCGGAAGAGGGTTCTGGGGGGTGCCGGTACCGGGGGGCCCGATTACGAAGTGCTCAGTTCCGGGAAGTGCAATGTGCAGGGATTATCCGGTTCCGAGGATCCTAGTACAGGGTTACCCGGTACTGGGGTGCCTAGTTACGGAGGTTCCAGTACAGTACAGGGGTGCCTGGGTTAGCGAGGTGCCCAATTCCGGGTGGTGCCCCTAGTGGGGATTCTCGGTGCCGGGAATCCCAGCAGATGGATACCCGGTTACCGGTGACCGGCTCAGAGGGGTTCCCGGTTTTGGGGGTTGCTCATGGAGGGTACGCGGTGCCGGTATGTCCCGGTACTGCCGGTCCCCGTTCCCTACACCCGGTTCCCACGCGCCTCGGCCCCGCCCGGCCCCGCCCCACTCACGGCATAGCCAATGAGCGCTCGGGCTTTCCCAGGCAGGCCCCGCCCACCGAGCCGTGTGGGCGGGTCCCCGGCCCGTGGTGGGCGTGGCCGGCGCGCGCGGTGCGTCGGGCGCGGCGGGAAGATGGCGTCGGGAGCGCGGGGCCCGTGGCGGGGGCGGGCGGTGAGCGGCGGCGCTGGGGCGGACCGGGAGGGGCCGGGGGACGCCGGAACACCGGCAATGGGGGCACCGGCAGCGGGGACACCGGGAGCGGGGCGGGCGGGGAGCGGGGCGGGCCTCGGGGCAGGTTCAACCACCCTTCTGCCGCGGTGCCGGGGTGCCCGGGCCGCCGCCCGCCCTTGGCCGCGCGGGGCCGGAGGGACCGGCCCGGCCCGGGCGGTGTCGGGGGTGAGGGGGCAGCGGCGGGAACGGGTCCGAGCGGGCCGCAGTGCCGTGGGGAGGGGCCCACCCCGCTGAGGCCCGCGGGGTCCCGGGGTCCCGGCCCCGCGCCCAACGCTTCCAACGCCTCCTCCGCCCTCCCCAGGTGCGGCGCTGACGGGACGGGACCGCCGCGACCTTGACCCAGGTAGGCGGCCCGGCCCCGGGCCATCGAAGGGTCCCGGTTGTGCGTGACCCCGGAGCCTGAGGGCGTCCCGGTGCCGGTGTCTCCGTGGCTCCGGAACTGAGGATGCCCAAGTGAGCAGCACCTTCCGCGGGCCGGGGAACCGCGGCCCCTGCGCGGGGGGCAGCCCGGGCTGTGATAGCTCCTCGCCTCACCTGGACCACCGGCGGCTACCGGCGGCTACCGGCGACCCCTCGGTGACCCGTACACCGTGTTCCATTTCCCGGGTGCATCAGAGGGGCCGGTGCTCATCACCCACAACCTCCTGGTGCTGGGTACCATCCTCTGCCTATGGTGGCTATGCCCCGGTGTCCCTATCCCTGCCCTGGTGGCACCTGGCTGTCATCCTGTGCCCTCGGTGTCCCTTCCTGCAGTGTCCCTGTCCCTTCTCTAGTGGCACCTGGTCACCCCTCAGTGCTCTGGTTACCTGCTGCCCAGGCAGAGGCTGCTGCCCACCACAGCCCATCCAGGTGCCACTGGGGTGCCACTGGTGTGGGACCACGGCCCCGTGTCGTGCCCCGGTGACTGGGTCCTTTGGCATGTGGCAGGCACAGCCAGGTTGGGGTGAGGAGACACTGGTACAGGACAAGAGGTGGTGACAGCTGGTGTCCCTGTCCCACCAGCATGGCTCTGGCTGTGGGCCCCTGCACTAGGGACTCCCCGGTGTGCCACACCGTGGCCTTTGCCTCAGTGCTCCTGCTGCGGCCGCAGTGCCAGCTCCCGGGGCTGGCACTGCCCCGGCATGCAGTGGGTCTAACTTTAGCAGCCACACAAGCGCTGGCTGTGGGTGGGACGGGCTGTGCTGGGTATAAATAGACAGGCCCTGCTCATGCTGTGTCCCACTGCCCCAGCTTCAGCCACTTTCCATTCCTGTCCCTGTGGTTTGGGGTGTCTTTAATCGCACTTTCACTTCCCCAAGCCCCATGCAAGTGCTGTGGCACTGGCTCTCAAAGCCATTGCACTTCCCACGTGCTGGTCGGGGACTGGGGGGCCCCTGCAATGTCTCTTTCTCCCCAGGCACACGCGTGCTGCTGGCTCTGGGGCCTTTTAGGGCTCAGTGCTGTGCTGGTGCCTGCAGTGGCAGTGGTGGTGCTAGGGCACGGGGCCCTATAAATATCCTGGCAGCACTGCTGTGCTGCGCCGGCCGTGGGTGCTGCTGAACATGGGGGTGGGCAGCTGTCCCAGCTGTCCCGCTGTCCCTGCGGGCCTGCTGGGTACTCCCCACACCCTTGCTGGGCCGGTTCCCAGTTTAAAGTCCAATACTGGGTGTGAGCAGGGCTGGGATCCAGAGTTCTCCAGCCACGCTGCTCTAGCATGCTTGCCCGGGCCGGTTCCCACTGCTCTGTCTCTCCTGCCTGCCTTTCCTCGTGATTACCTTCATTTCCTCCTGACTTTCTTCCCTCCTGGCTTCCCTCCTACTTTCCCTTCTGCCTCCCTCCCTGCTGCTGGATGTGAGGTTGGGCTGGGGATCTCTGACAGCCCCTCTCCCTGCAGCCCGGCCACTGGCAGCAGCATGGAGAGAGGACCCTGGCATCCCGCCTGCTGCCCTGTGCCCCCACGGTGGTGCCAGGCCGCGTCCAGACCGGTTGGGGTGCCCCGGTGCTGTCCGTGACCCCGTGCCCATGGAGAGGATGAGCTGGCTGAGCAAGCTGACCCCACGGGCGGGTGGGCAGCGAGCCCCCCGCAGTGCCAGCCTGCAGCCCCCCGTCACCGCTGACCCTGAGACCTGCCTCATGGTCTTCAAGAACCACTGGGCACAGGTGAGTGGGACGGGGGGACAATGAGGATCCCGGACCCTCCAGCCCCCAGCCCCCCACTGTCAAGCCCCCTCTCACAGGTGCTGCGGATCCTGGAGCGGCGCGGGAGCAAACCAGCCCCTGATGACCTCAGCGCTGTCCGCAACAACACCTACCAGATGCTGAACCTGCTGGCTGAGGACCGGCCCTGGGGGGACGGGGACAAGGACAGGTCACAGGGGGACGGGGACATGGCCTGCGGGCCCATCCTGGAGTTTGTGGCTGCTGAGAACCTTCTGGAGCGGCTCCTGTGTTGGCATCTGCAGGGTGACTTCACCGAGGAGAGGAAGGTCTGAGTGAGGGGAGCAGAGGGGTTTACAGCGGTGGGGGGTTTGTGTGGAGGTTGGGACTGGATGCAAGGGGGTGTAGGTGGTGGGTTGAGGGTCAGCCAGGCCAAGCGGGCTGTTCAGGTTGGATTGGAGTTGAGGCTACCCAAGCCATCCCGAAAACTCTGCGATGCTGGAGGAACTTCCTCATGGAAAGAGCCATCCAGCCCTGTCACAGATGACTCAGGGCAGTGCTGGAATCCCCAGCCCTGTGGGGATTTCACAACCATGTGGATGTGGTTCAGCGGGCTGGGCTGTGCTGGAGGAACAGCTGGAGCGGGTGGTCTGTACCTTTCCCACTCTGTCCTTGTTGGCAGGTGGAGCAGCTGAAGCTGTATGAGATGCTGATCAGCCAGGCCCGGCAGCCCCTGCTGCGGCACAAGCCGGTGCTGACGCCGCTGCTGCGCCTGCTCAGCGTGTGCGCTGAGCCCGCCTCGGCCCCGCTCGAGAACAGCCTGGTACTGCTGCTCAACCAGCTCTGCGTCTCCGTGGCCCGCGAGCCGGCCATCCTGGAGCTCTTCTTCCACAGCCACACGGACCAGGGCCCCGCCAACCTCATCATCTTCTCGCTCCTCATCCCCTTCATCCACCACGAGGGCGCGCGGGGCCAGCAGGCGCGTGACGCGCTGCTGCTCATCATGGCCATGTCGGCCAGCAACCGCGCCGTGGCACAGTCCATCACCGACAACTCCTACTTCTGCCCGGTATGGGTCCCCGTGGGCATCCCCCTCCTGCTCAGGGCAATGTTCCCTTCCCCAGGGTGATGTCCCCTCCCTGGAACCGTGCTGGGACCCTGCACTGCTGGCACAGGATTGGGTTTGGCCACTGGGGCAAGAGCCATGGACATAGAGAGAGAAGTCCTGCCCTGGCTTGGGGATGGTGGGGGGCAGGGCTGGAGATTATGGGGCCTTGGGAATGATGGAAGCTTGGTGATGGAGAGCTTTGGGATAGGGGGCTTGGAGAGGATGGGGGATCTGGGGGCGATGGAAGGTCTACAAGTGATGGGGGGCTTGGAGGTGACAAGAGTAGCCTGGAGATGATGGGGAGCTTGGGGATGAGGGTTCTAGGGACAGGGTGCTTGGTGGTGATGGGAGGGTTGGAGATGATGGAAGGCCTGGTGCTGGGCTGGGGATGAGGGGCCACTCCCTGGGGTCAGTGGTGGATGCAGGGCCCAGCCCAGCTGCCCTGGCTGGAGCGCTGGAGTGGAGCAGGTTTGTGGGGGCAGGCTGCTGGGGTTTGGGAGAGGCCGGTTGGGTCCAGCAGCCGGAGGTGCAGGGGGCTGCGGGGCAGCCGAGTACGTGTGTTCCCAGGTGCTGGCCACGGGCCTGAGCGCCCTGTACTCCTCCCTGCCCCGCAAGATCGAGGTGCGAGGAGATGACTGGCACTTCCTGCGGCGGGAGGACTGGATCGGCGTCTCCTCCCTCGTCCTCTTCATGAACTCGCTGGAGTTCTGCAATGCCGTCATCCAGGTGGGGCTGAGGGGCTGTGAGGAGCTAGTGAGGGGCTCCCAGCCCCATAGGGGGCTGCCTGACCCTCCTGGGGCCCCTCAGGTCGCCCACCCACTGGTGCAGAAGCAGTTGGTGGATTACGTCCACAACGGGTTCCTCGTGCCCGTCATGGGGCCGGCGCTGCACAAGGTGAGGGACCCCTGGCAGCAGGTGTGGGGTGAGGGTCTCCTGCCCATAGCACTGCCCGTGCAGGTGGGCAGGGCCCCGTGGTGGTCAGCTCCACGTGGCCCTCCCGCAGACCTCGGTGGAGGAGATGATTGCGAGCACGGCGTACCTGGACCTGTTCCTGCGCAGCGTCAGCGAGACAGCGCTGCTGAAAACCTTCCTGCGCTTCGTGCTGCTGCACCGGCACGACAACACAACCATCCTGGACACGCTGGTGGGCCGCATCAACAGCAACTCCCGGGTGAGCCCCACGGCCTCCCAGCATCCCCATCCTCATCTTTATCCCATCCCATTCCCATCCCTGTCCTGCCATGGGGTGGGTGGCACTGCCCCCTGCCCACTCCACTGCCCCTCTGACGCCCTGCACTGTCCCCAGCTGTGCATGGTGTCCCTGAGCCTCTTCCGGACCCTGCTCAGCCTCAACTGCGAGGATGTGATGCTGCAGCTGGTGCTCAGGTAGCAGGGGCTGGGGTGGCTGCTGAGGGGTCCGGGGGTCACCTGCTGCTGGCCCACTCTGGGGCTCCTCTGGGGCGGGCCTGGGTAGTTGCTCCCGGGTGAGCATGTGGATGTGAGGCAGCCACATCATTTGCCCTACTGTGAAGGGGGCTGGGGTCCTGTGGAGGGTCCCCGTCCCTGTGTCTCCTCTGCAGCTGCCCTGTGCCACCCTGTGCCCCCAGGTACCTGCTGCCCTGCAGCCACGTGATGCTGAGCCAGAAGCGGGCAGTGCGGGACCTGGACATCTACGGGAAGACAGCGGCCAAGTTCCTGTCCCTCATCCCACGCTGCTGCCGGCCCGAGAGCCCCCCACCCCCCCACGACAGGGACGAGGAGCCCCCGTCCCGGGCCAGGGGTATGCCACTGCGGCCCCTCAGAGCCCCTCCCCGCCATCCCCACCAAGCCCTCTCCCTGCATCCCTGCAGCCCGTCTGACTCCTTTCCTACCCTTGGCACTGAGCTGTCCCGTGCTATCCCTGTGGCCCCTTAGACCCTGTTCCCCTCCTGGCTTGATGTGGAGCCCTCTCCTGGGGTCTCCATGGCCGCTTGTAACCCACCCCTGCTCCAACCTGTTGGTGAGTCCCAGCTGTGCCGTCCCTCATACCCTGGCCCCATCCTGTCCCGTTGCTGAGCTCTGCCTTGCTGTCCCCTTGGACCCTGTCCCAGCTCAGTACTGAGCCCCTGGTGCCATTCCTGTGGCAACTTGAGCCCCATCCCCACCCCATCCTGGCACAGTCCCCATGCCATGCTATCTCTGCATAGTTGAGCCCTCTCCTGGCCCTGGGCTGCCCTGTGCCATCCCTGCAGCCGCTGGGACATCATTGCTATCCCAGCTCTGTGCTGAGCCTCGTGCCACCATCGCCACAGCACCCTGAATTCCCCCCTTTCCCCTCGGTGCTGACCCCGTTGTCCCCGCAGGTCACGGCAGCCCCGGTGCAGACGCCCCCGCGGCACCGAAGCCCTCCACGCCGTCCCGCCTCTCCTTCTTCATGCGCCAGGCCAGCGCGGCCCCCGCCGAGGCTGCTGGCCCCCGCTCGCCCGGGCCCCCCGCAGGCAGCCCCCCCCGGCCCGGCCCCCGTGACGAGGTGGCAGAGCTGGACAGGAACTACCTGGAATACCTGCGGGACGCGCGGCGCAGCATCGACCGCTGCGCCTGGGCCTGCCGCGTCTGGTCGGCCCCCTACGACGGCGAGGACCCCCGAGCCCCCGGCCCCACGCCCGACCCCGACAGCCCCCCGGCGCGGCCCCCCGGGCCCCCCACGCCACGGACTAAGAAGCGGGGGCTGCCCGAGGAGGGAGCACGGGAGGCGCCGGGGGGGCCCCTCGGGGGTGACGAGCCCGGCGCTGGGGGGCCTGGCCCCGAGCCCCGGGATGGGGGGACACTGATGAACGGGGCACACGGGGCGGCTGAGCCCGCGCGGCCGGAGGGGGATGTGGTGGTGAAGAAGGTCCGTCGGAGCCCCCAGGGCGAGGGGGAGGGCGGCGGGGGGGCACCGAACGGGGCGCCTCGGGCACAGCCCCCTGGCTGGGAGCCTCTGTCCTCGGTGGACTCGCTGTTGGAGGAGCTGCTAGCCCGCGTGCCCGCCGAGCCCCCCGGAGCCGGCGTCTCCATCGAGACCTTCACGGAGGAGCTGCGCGAGATTGAGGCTGAGATGCAGAACGGTGGCGTGGGAGGGGCCCCAGCCACCCCCACGGAGCCCCCCGAGCCACCCTTGTCCCATGAGGAGGAGGAGGCCTTTGCCAGCTTCACTGCACTGCCCGAGGGGGACGGAGGCACCGGGCGAGCGCCGCCACGGCCCCCAGACCCCCTGGCACAAGTGGTGGCCAGCCCGCCGCGGGCGGTGGGGCCACCCCCCAGCCAGCCCTTCACAGGTGGGCACGGGGGGACAGCGAGGGTCCCAGCTCCCTGCAGGGCCCTGCCTGACCCGCCCCCGTATCCCCAGGCCCCTTCGTGTCGGTGCTGTTTGGGAAGCTGGAGAACATGCCCCACAACTCACTGTATGTCAACTTCCTGCTGACGGGGCTGGTGGCCCAGCTGGCCTGCTACCCCCAGCCTCTGCTCCGCTCCTTCCTGCTCAACACCAACATGGTCTTCCAGCCCAGTGTCAAGTCCCTGCTCCAGGTATGGCCCTGGGGAACCCCTGCCCTCATGGAGTCATGGGAAGGCGTTGGAAAAGCCCCCCAAAACCACTGAGTTCACCCTGTGCTGTCCAGCCTGCCCCTGCCCCATGTCCCCAAGTGCCACAGGCACAGGGCTGTAACCCCCTCTGGATCCCGTTACTGTGGAGACCCCCCTATTCCTGTTGGGATACCCTGTGCTCCAGGGAACGCCCCATCTGGTGGGGACCCCTGTTCTGAGGCGATCCCCATCCTGTGGTTCTGCAGGTGCTGGGCTCGGTGAAGAACAAGATCGAGAGCTTTGCTGCCACTCAAGAGGATTTCCCAGCACTGCTCTTCAAGGCCAAGAAGTACCTGATTGCCCGGGGGCGGCTGGACTGGGCAGAGGGGCCCGGGGCTGTCCCTGCCCTGCGGCGCACGGACACCCTGGGTGAGGACACGGCCTTGGCTGGGGGGCTGGGGTCTGCCTGGGGGGCTGGGGGCTGTGCAGGCAGCTGGGAGAGCCACATGGGGCTGGGGGCTGCACGCTGTGTTGTGTAAGGAGCTGAGGGCTGCCCTGTGTGTTACCCGGGGTCTGGGGTCTGCACAGTGTGTTGCGTAGGCGTGGAGGCTGCCCAGGGGGGCTGGGGGCTGCGCAGCAGGCTGCACGCTGTGTTGTACAAGGGGCTGGATGTGCAGGGTGGGCTGGGGGCTGCTCTGGGAGTCTGGTGTCTGCGTGGGGTGCGGGGTCTGTGCAAGGGGCTGGAGATGTGATAAGGAGGGTTGGGGTCTGTGCAAGGGGCTGGGGATTCTGTGGGGGAGCTGAGGGCTGCACAGAGGTCTGGATGCCATCCCCTGTGTGCCCACAGCCACAAGCTGTCCCTTGGGCCTGGGCTGGGGCCGTGCTGGGGGCCGGGTGCCCCCCGTGCCCCCCACGCCCAGCGTCCCTGACCCGTTGCCCGCTGTGCCCCAGCCCGCAGCCGGAAGCCGTCCCTGGGGGAGCTGCTGCTGCGCCACGCCAACAGCCCGACCCGCGCGCGGCACGCGGCACAGCTGGCCCTGCAGGGGCTGCGGGACGGGGGGCTGCACCCCCTGGCCCCCCCGGCACGGCACGGCGAGGCCCTGCGTGTGCGCAACGCCGTCTACTGCGCCGTCATCTTCAGCGAGTTCCTCAAGGAGCTGGCGGCCATCGCCCAGGCGCACGCCGTCACCTCCCCCTTCCTCACCGAGCCCCCCGAGGAGTGACCCCCGCGCCCCCTTTTTAACCCCGGACTCGGACCTTTTTAATTTATTGGGGCGGGGCTGGGCCGAGGCCGGGCTGCACTTTGGACACGAGTGGCCGCCCCTGCCTCCTGCCCCGGGGGAGCAGGGCAGGACCCTGGGGCCCCCGGGGCTCGCAGGGCGGGGGTCGCGGGGCGGGCTGGCTCTGCCCCCCTCGGCCCCCTGGGGGTTCCTGGTGCCCACCCGGCCGCTCTCTATGCAACCCCCGGGGTGTGGGGCTTGGGGGGGCTGTGCATGGGGAGGGGATGTGTGTCTGTGCTGTGTAAAACCCTTCGGAATAAAGGGTCTGATTGAGGGCACCGCCTTCCCCCATCTGTGCAGCTCTCCGAGTATGGGGGGCAGCCAGGATACCAGGGCACCCCTGGGTGACTGCATCATGCTGCTGGCCTGAGACACCCTGTGTCTGCTCCCTGCTCAGCTCTAGGGGTCTGTGGGCAGCCACAGGCCCTGGGGTGAAGCTGTGACTGTAGGGGGACAGCAAGGGGCTCGTGGAGCAGATGCCAGCATTGTGGGCTGCCCTGGCCCCCAGGTGCCAGCACAGTTCCCATCCAGCACCAACCTGGGACACCCCCAGGATCCTGCTCATGGCCCTCACCCAGGGGTTTCCCTGTGTTGCTGGGTCAGAATGGAAATTGAGATGAGGGTGGAGATGCAGACAATTGGGATGGGATGGGGATGAGGATGATGAGGATGGAGGTGGGATGGGATGAGGTTGAAGAGGTGGAGCCCTAGGGGTGGTATCTCCTGAGCTCTTGGGGGGTCGGGAGGGCACTGAGCCTTCTGGGCCTTGCGGTGCCCCCAGGGTCTTGACTCTATTCTCTATTCCAAACAGCCCCCGGCTCTGACCTATGGGAACAGTGGCTGGAGAATATCTGAATTTCCTGTTCCAGTAGTTCATGTGTGAGGTCTATTCCAGCCTTTTCCCTAACAGTGTGGAATGTCTGTCAGCCAGCAAAGGGACATGGAGCCACTCCCAGGCCAGAATCTGGGGGATGCTGCCTGTGTTATCTCCAGTTCCAGCCCTTGCTACCCTGCAGATGAGCCTTTTTCACAATTGCCAATCGATTCGTGACTAATTTTCACTCATCTCTTGGAGGTTTTGCCCCAGATAAGGTCATTTCTGTGTCAGAAACAGTAGAGCCAGTAAGACTAAGGAAATGTGCTCTGCTGGGCACTGCTGAGGCCACAGCTCGACTGCTGCGTCCAGTGCTGAGTCCCTCAATTCAGGAAAGACATTGAGGGGCTGGATTGTGTCCAGGGCAGGGAAGGGAGCTGGGAAGGGGCTGGAGCCCCAGGAGGGGCTGAGGGAGCTGGGAAAGGGGCTGAGGCTGGAGAAAAGGAGGCTCAGGGGGGACCTTGTGGCTCTGCACAAGTCCCTGGCGGGAGGGGCAGGGAGGGGGGGTCGGGCTGTGCTCCAGGGAACAGGGACAGGAGGAGAGGGAACGGCCTCAGGCTGGGCCAGGGCAGGCTCAGCTTGGACAGCAGCAGGAATTTCCCCATGGAAAGGGAGCTCAGGCCTTGGCAGGGGCTGCCCAGGGAGCTTTGGAGTGCCCATCCCTGCAGGTGGCACCTGGAGGTGGCACTCAGTGCTCTGGGTGGGGGTCAGCTCAGGTCGCACTCGATGTTCTGGAAGCTGTTGCGACGCGGGCGACTCCGGAATTCCGGAGCCGTTCCCGCCTTTCCCGGCCGGGTCCGCCCCCGCTGCGTCACACCGGCCGCGTGTCGTCACTTCCTGCCCCTGGCCCCGCCCCCGGGTTAACCCGCGCCCCGCGAGCTCTGCGGCCTCTTTCCGGCCGCGCGCGCCAAGATGGCGGACACGCAGGTGGGCGCTGCGCGGCCCTGCCGTGCTGGGGCCCGGGGCGGCGGGCGGAGAGGGGCGGCTGGTGCCGTAGGGGTGTGGGGGTGATGAGCGGAGGTGTCGGGGATCTGGGTGGGGGAGGAGCCCCTGGGGTCGGTGGAGCGAAGGGGGAGCGGAATCTCGGTGAGGCGCAGGGGGGCCGTGTCTCGATTCGCCGGGATTTGGGGGAGAGGGCGGCTCTCGGTACGCCGGGGTTTTGAGGCAGAACAGGGCTACCCTGAGGTTTGGGGGGGAGCGGAAATCTCAGTGCCTTGGGGTTTTAGTGCTTGCGGGGAGGGTCGCGTGTCTCGGGGCAGATGAGACGAAGGCGGGGGCGGAATCTCGGTGCCCCAGAGGTTTGGGGTGGAGGAGCAGAGTGTTCCGTGCCCTGAGCTTGGGACGGGGTCTCAGTGCCCTGAGGGTTTAGGGGAGGGCAGAGGGTCCAGTGTCCCGCGGCTCGGGGGAAGGATCCGGGTGCTCTGGGGTCTTGTGAGCTCTTCGTGCCTGGGGTTTCGGAGGGAAGATGGGCAGGTCTCGGCGCCCCGGGCCGGGGCTGCACTCACTCTCGGTGCTGAGTGTCCCCTGCCGGGGGTCTCAGGGCCTGGCTGACCCCCCCACCCTGTCCCCCAGACGGAGCGCGCCTACCAGAAGCAGCCGACGATCTTCCAGAATAAGAAGCGAGTGCTGCTCGGCGAGGGTGGCAAAGAGAAGTTGCCCCGCTACTACCGCAATGTGGGACTGGGCTTTAAGACCCCGAAGGAGGTGAGGGGGCCCTGGGCTTGGGACTGGGGGCTGTGATGGTCCTGATGTGGATGTAGCACTTGGGGACAGGGTCAGTGGTGGCCTTGGCAGTGCTGCTTGGGCTCGAGGTCTCTGGTGGCTTTCCCCACCCGAGCTATTCCATGATTCCTACATGTACGAGTGTTCTCTGGACTGTGGTGGTACATGAGCTGCATCTCCCCCCCTGACACCTGCCTGTCTCTGCAGGCCATCGAGGGCACCTACATCGACAAGAAGTGTCCCTTCACTGGGAATGTCTCCATTCGGGGCCGCATACTCTCAGGTGAGTTGGAACATCCCCAGAGATCTGGGGATATTTGGGGCAGGTAACCCACCCCCCTTGAGGTCCCTTGTAGCCTGTCCCGGTCCTGGAGCCGCAAATGATGCCAATCTCACGATGGTCTGCCGAGCCCACCACGGGCCTGACGACACTGCCACATGGCTTCACTGATGCAGGTGACAGGACCAGGTGTGCTGGAGGGCAGGTGTTGGGGTAGGATGGGAACCAGTGGTGTGTGGAGCATTAGGAAATGTGTTAGAGATCTTGTAAAAGAGCCATAATTGGGTTTGCAACAGAAATGGGAAGGTTGTGGCCTGGCAGTGAGGGGCCAGCAAATGAGAAATTCCTGCCAGGTGCCACAGTGATCCCTGGCAGTGCCCTTGGGTCCCCCCAGTGCCCGTGTCTCAGGTGTCCTGTCCCCTGTGGTGCAGGTGTGGTGACCAAGATGAAGATGCAGCGCACGATCGTGATCCGCCGCGATTACCTGCACTACATCCGCAAGTACAACCGCTTCGAGAAGCGCCACAAGAACATGTCCGTGCACCTGTCCCCCTGCTTCAGGTGTGTGCATGTCCCTGGAGTGTCCCCACGCCTGTCCTTGCTGGTGTGTGGTGCTGAACTTGTGGCTGGGGAGCCACACCTGGGCGGGATGGGGGTGGGTTCATTGCCCCTCCTCACCTGGAACGTGCTCACGGTGATGATGTCCAAACTCACGATGGTCTGCAGAGTCCCCCAGCTGAGGGGCTGCTGACAATGCCTCTGGCACGTACTGAACCATGGGGCAGGTTCCAGGCACACCTGTGGGAGCCTTGCAGTCCTTCCCAGAAGGAGCAGCCAGGCTGGGGGTTCTGAGGGGCGGGTGAAGCCCTGGGAGCTCCCTGACCCCCAGGTGTCATTGCAGGGACGTGCAGATTGGGGACATCGTGACAGTGGGTGAGTGCCGCCCCCTCAGCAAGACCGTGCGCTTCAACGTGCTCAAGGTGACCAAGGCTGCAGGCACCAAGAAACAGTTCCAGAAGTTCTGACCCCTGGGGGGAGAGGTGTGGGAGGAATAAATGTTGGGAAAGAGGAACTGCATGTGTGTGAGCTGAAACGAGTTGTGAGCAGTGCAGACTGGGGACCAGTGACGTGTGGGCTCAGGTGTGTGGTGCTGGGAGCACAGGTCACGGCACAAGGCAGAAGGGGACACTCCAGCTGCCCTTGTCACCTGCTGTGTCTGAGTTCAGTGTTGGTTTGTTCTGGGCTGTGTCTGCGTTCCTAGAGCTACTGCAGCAGGTATTGGGTGTGGGTTTGGTAATAATTCAGAAGGTGAAGTAACATGGTGGTGACAGGGGCAGGTGTGGCCCTGAGGGTCCTTCTCAAGAATGAGTGGTTCAGCACTGGTGGCAGCATCTTGGGCCAGCTCTGGCAGTGTCACCTTCACATCGAAGTGTCCAAGGGCCGGGTTGGACAGGGCTGGAAGCACCCTGGTCTAGTGTAAGGTGTCCCTGCCCATGCAGGGGGATGCAACTGGATGAGCTTTAAAGGTCCCTCGACCCAAACTTCCATGATTCCATGACTTCTGGCCGCCTCCACCTGCTCCAGGTGAGCCCCACACCTTTGGCTGTAGGCTGGAGCTGCAGCTCCAGGGTTGAGCTGTAGCCATTCTTCATTCTCAGACTCTTGGAAGAAACCTCAGCGTTTGAGGTAAGTTGACACAATTTCCAGTAAATTTAGGTTTTCAGGGCTTGGTAACATCCATACCTTCGTTCTTGGTCCTGCCAGAACCATGAGACTGTCACATGTTTGCTCTGGAATTGGGAGCAGTGGACATGGGGCCTGGTGTCCAGGAACAGCAAACGGGAGAGTTTCCATTTGTTTGGCGGGTTCTTACTGGTGTCCAGTGGCAGCAGGTGCCGTGAGTGCCCTGGGGTTCATCCCTCAGGAACTGAGGGTCCTGGAACCTCCTGAGTTGGAAGGGACGTACGGGGACCATTGGATTCCTGTGCCCCATCACAGTCACCCTGGTCTCAGGATATGTTTCCCAATTTTAGCCTTGTGTAATGTCGCTGTCTGCCTGCATGAAGCTCCTCCAGTCAGAGGATTAAAGGGGAGCATTGGTGTAGGAAAAAAGAGGGACATGGAGCAGGGCATCCATCAGCCATGCCTTTGGGA